GTAGGCGTCCCGCCGCGTTGGCCTCTCTTGTGCCAACTGCCAGACAGCGACGTCCACCCTCTGGCGCCGAAACGCTGAGGGAGAGCCTGTCTGTAATGCCTGCGGCCTCTACATGAAGCTCCACGGGGTAAGGCCTTCACTGATCTTTACCCTCTTTGGGAAGGTATCAATGGCAAGGGGTGATGTTCGCAGGGCAATTTCTCACACACTAATTTGCTACCCTTTCCATCCAAGCCTTAAAACCCAATAAAACTCAGCCACCACCTAAATTCAGGCACTTTAGTGAAAACCTGAGTCAGAAAAGGGGGCTTGGTCCTCCCACATGGGGTGTCAAATCCCAGCTAAGACTTGGTTGTTGACTTGTTGTGGGAGTGATGGATGACTTTTCTTTCACGGGTGCCCAGATAGTCTCTTTCTGGCAGTGGGGGCTTCGCGTATCTATGTCATGTCTGATATATCTAGAAGAGTCCTGTTGGAGTCCTTCAAACTGCAAATCTCCAGTCCTTCTCCCACCAGTCAGTGGCAACAGGGTCACCAGCAGAGACAGAGGCCTTCAACACCCTGGCGATTGCTTAGCAGCAAACTCCAGTTCTGTTTCTTGTTGCGTTCCCTGGCCGCTTTGTGATGACTAGCCACCTTTTTTGGATAGCCTGATCCCAGATCCATAGGGTGAGCTTATGGGGCAGGTCAGGGCATCCCAAAGCCTGTGGGGTCTGGATGGGGCATGCATGGGAACATCTGGGTGTTGGTATCTTGCCTGTCCCCACCTGTTTTGGTGAGAGACTTTGGGAAGGTCTCTGCAGCCTGTCCTCCAGGGACGTGGATCCATCATAACTCCAGGCAGAAAGGACCACCAAACCATCCCTCGGGGCCACGTTTCTCCACTCCTCATCTTCCATGAGGTTCCGTCCCCAACCTGCCCTGCTCTTTGCATCTCCCAGACCTGCCTGTGCTCCAACCCAGCTGTCCCTTGCAAGCGTCAAAAATGACATTGGCAGCTTGAGCCCTGCCACCAGCCACAGCCACCCAGCGCCCTCTTGTGAAACCCCTTTCCTGGACACCGCACCGACTGAGCCAGGCAGTGTCCCTCACCCCACCACCCAGTTCCTTGCCCTCTGTCATTTACTGGTCTGCACCTTGTCCTTGGGCACATCATAGAATCATAGAATTGCCCAGGCTGGAAGGGACCTCTAAAGGTCATCTAGTCCGACCCCCCCGCAGTCAGCAGGGACACCCCCAACTAGACCAGGTTGCCCAGGGCCTCATTGAGCCTCACCTTGAATATCTCCAGGGATGGGGCCTCAACCACCTCCCTGGGCAACCTGTTCCAGTGCTCCACCACCCTCCCAGTGAAGAACCCTCTCCTCATCTCCAGTCTAAATCTGTTCCCCTCCAGCTTGAAGCCATTGCCCCTCGTCCTGTCACTGCAGGCCTTTCTAAACAGGTTCTCCCCAGCCTTCCTGTAGGCTCCCTTCAGGTACTGGAAGGCTGCTATTAGGTCTCCCTGGAGCCTCCTCTTCTCCAGGCTGAACAACCCCAGCTCCCTCAGCCTGTCCTCGTAGCAGAGGTGCTCCATCCCCCTGATCATCCTTGTGGCCCTCCTCTGGACCCTCTCCATCAGGTCCATGTCCTTCTTATATTGAGGGCTCCAGACCTGCACACAATACTCCAGGTGAGGTCTCACCAGAGCAGAGTAAAGTGGCAGAATCACCTCTCTGGACCTGCTGTGTGTTCGATGATGGCTCATTGGGTACCAGGCTTGGTCCTTCATAGCAACGAGCAACACATGCTGTTAACTCTGCACAGCCTTGGGGTGAGGCTTGGAAAACCCCACAAGAAGAGAAAAAGACAGACAGAAATAAGGGAGGCAAGAGGAGAGGAAAGCTTGAGGTGTTCTGGAGGGGTCTCACTGGGATCTGAGATGCTGCTGGTGGGTTGATGTGTTTTCTTCCTCTGCCTCTTCTCGCAGTCGGCTTCCCGCCGCGTTGGCCTCTCTTGTGCCAACTGCCAGACAACGACGACCACCCTCTGGCGCCGAAACGCTGAGGGAGAGCCTGTCTGTAATGCCTGCGGCCTCTACATGAAGCTCCACGGGGTAAGGCCTTCACTGATCTTTACCCTCTTTGGGAAGGTATCAATGGCAAGGGGTGATGTTCGCAGGGCAATTTCTCACACACTAATTTGCTACCCTTTCCATCCAAGCCTTAAAACCCAATAAAACTCAGCCACCACCTAAATTCAGGCACTTTAGTGAAAACCTGAGTCAGAAAAGGGGGCTTGGTCCTCCCACATGGGGTGTCAAATCCCAGCTAAGACTTGGTTGTTGACTTGTTGTGGGAGTGATGGATGACTTTTCTTTCACGGGTGCCCAGATAGTCTCTTTCTGGCAGTGGGGGCTTCGCGTATCTATGTCATGTCTGATATATCTAGAAGAGTCCTGTTGGAGTCCTTCAAACTGCAAATCTCCAGTCCTTCTCCCACCAGTCAGTGGCAACAGGGTCACCAGCAGAGACAGAGGCCTTCAACACCCTGGCGATTGCTTAGCAGCAAACTCCAGTTCTGTTTCTTGTTGCTACTCCTGGGGTTTATATACACATCCCTGCTATCTGTGATGTCCAGTGCTTCAGAGCAGATGGAAGAACATTCATGAAAGTCAGGTCGAAGCTGGAAGACTAGGTGGATGAAGGGAAGCTTTACCTAACCCCAAAAATTCTTCCTAGAATTCCCAGTGTATCTCTGACCATGAAGGTGACCACCTCAGCAGGGTCAGTTCCTAAGGGAGGTCTCCCCACATAGGCTTGGTACCTTTCCAGAGAGCAGGTATTAGCCAGAAAGACGTCTTCTGCTCTGAGTTACACAGGAGAGTAAATCACATGAGCTGTTTATTCCTTCTGTCCTTATAACACTCAATATCTATGGTGTGGAAAGCCTATCCATTCCTATTTGGGATAAAACAGAATAGAATAGATTATTTAGTTGGGAGGGACCTACAGTGATCATCTAGTCCAACTGTCTGATCACTTCAGGACTCACCAAAAGTTAAAGAATATTATTAATGGCATTGTCCAAATGCCTCTTAAACACTGGTAGACGCGGGGCATCAACCACCACTTGGAAGAATATCTTACAGCTTTGACATATCTCTTCACACAGCGGTGGTGACCAGTGGCCTTGGGCTTCATCTTGTTGTTGTTTTCAATTAAATCAAAATTAAAGCTGGTTTTCATGGAGATTATGAGGTAGAGTTGGAATCACATTCTCCTGGATGACCTTTTGGCCATACAGAAACCAATGTGCATTTATATTTGGGTCTGTAGGTTCCAAGGCCTTTAGCAATGAGAAAAGAGGGCATTCAGACGAGGAAGCGCAAGCCGAAGAACCTTAACAAAACAAAGACACCAGCAGGTAAGTGATAAATAGGGAAATTTATCTTATATCTATATGGGTGTTTCTGACCATCACATCCTGCCAGCCAGGCACCCAACCACAAAATGGGCTGGTTCTTCAAAAATGGGAGAACCTGAATATCTTTCCCACTATTTATTTGTTTATTTTTACCCACAGTACCTTCTTGGTGGGTGGGTATAGTTGATGATGGCTCATTGGGTACCAGGCTTGGTCCTTCATAGCAACGAGCAACACATGCTGTTAACTCTGCACAGCCTTGGGGTGAGGCTTGGAAAACCCCACAAGAAGAGAAAAAGACAGAGAAATAAGGGAGGCGAGAGGAGAGGAAAGCTTGGGGTGTTCTGGAGGGGTCTCATTGGGATCTGAGGTGCTGCTGGTGGGCTGATGTGTTTTCTTCCTCTGCCTCTCCTCGCAGTCGGCTTCCCGCCGCGTTGGCCTCTCTTGTGCCAACTGCCAGACAACGACGACCACCCTCTGGCGCCGAAACGCTGAGGGAGAGCCTGTCTGTAATGCCTGCGGACTCTACATGAAGCTCCACGGGGTAAGGCCTTCACTGATCTTTACCCTCTGTGGGCAAGGTATCAATGGCAAGGGGTGATGTTCGCAGGGCAATTTCTCACACACTAATTTGCTACCCTTTCCATCCAAGCCTTAAAACCCAATAAAACTCAGCCACCACCTAAATTCAGGCACTTTAGTGAAAACCTGAGTCAGAAAAGGGGGCTTGGTCCTCCCACATGGGGTGTCAAATCCCAGCTAAGACTTGGTTGTTGACTTGTTGTGGGAGTGATGGATGACTTTTCTTTCACGGGTGCCCAGATAGTCTCTTCCTGGCAGTGGGGGCTTCGCGTATCTATGTCATGTCTGATATATCTAGAAGAGTCCTGTTGGCGTCCTTCAGGAAGCAAATCTCCAGTTCTTCTTCCACCAGTCAGTGGCAATGGGGTCACCAGAAGAGACAGAGGCCTTCAACGCCCTGGCGATTGCTTAGCAGCAAACTCCAGTTCTGTTTCTTGTTGCTACTCCTGGGGTTTATATACACATCCCTGCTATCTGTGATGTCCAGTGCTTCAGAGCAGATGGAAGAACATTCATGAAAGTCAGGTCGAAGCTGGAAGACTAGGTGGATGAAGGGAAGCTTTACCTAACCCCAAAAATTCTTCCTAGAAATCCCAGTGTGTCTCTAACCATGAAGGTGACCACCTCAGCAGGGTCAGTTCCTAAGGGAGGTCTCCCCACATAGGCTTGGTACCTTTCCAGAGAGCAGGTATTAGCCAGAAAGATGTCTTCTGCTCTGAGTTACACAGGAGTAAATAACATGAGCTGTTTATCCCTTCTGTCCTTATAACACTCAATATCTATGGTGTGGAAAGCCTATCCGTTCCTATTTGGAATAAACCAGAATAGAATAGAATATTTAGTTGGGAGGGACCTATAGTGATCATCTAGTCCAAGTGTCTGATCACTTCAGGATTCTCCAAAAGTTAAAGAATATTATTAATGACATTGTCCAAATGCCTTTAAAACACTGGTAGATGCTGGTCATCAACCACCATTTGGAAGAATATCTTATAGCTTTGACATATCTCTTCACACAGTGGTGGTGACCAGTGGCCTTGGGCTTCATCTTGTTGTTGTTTTCAATTAAATCAAAATTAAAGCTGGTTTTCATGGAGATTATGAGGTAGAGTTGGAATCACATTCTCCTGGATGACCTTATGGCCATACAGAAACCAATGTGCATTTATATTTGGGTCTGTAGGTTCCAAGGCCTTTAGCAATGAGAAAAGAGGGCATTCAGACGAGGAAGCGCAAGCCGAAGAACCTTAACAAAACAAAGACACCAGCAGGTAAGTGATAAATAGGGAAATTTATCTTATATCTATATGGGTGTTTCTGACCATCATGTCCTGCGAGCCAGGCACCCAACCACAAAATGGGCTGATTCTTCAAAAATGGGTGATGCCTGAATGTCTTTCCCACTATTTATTTGTTTATTTTTACCCACAGTACCTTCTTGGTGGGTGGGTATAGCTCCATATTGGAAGGTCTTTGGGAAGAGCTTGGTTTACTGTCTGCTTTCTCACAGGTCCCTCCAGCAGCGAGAGTCTTACCCCGACCACCAGCTCCACCAGCAGCAGCAGCAGCACCACAACCACCGAGGAAATGCGCCCCATCAAAACAGAACCCGGGCTCTCATCTCATTACGGGCACCCCAGCCCCATTTCTCAGGTACAGAGGGAAGATGCTGGCAGTGGGGCAAAGACGGGAACTAGGGTGGTAGATATGGTGAGAAGAACACCCTCAAAACCTCTGTGGAAAAAGGCTTTTCAGCCCAGGGATCTAGGAGTTCACAGTAAGAGATCTATCCTCTGAGATGGGGTAAAACCCACATGGTTTTGTCACCATGTCTAAAGCACAATACAGTTTTTTATCATAGAATCATAGAATGGTTTGGGTTGGAAGGGACCTTAAAGATCATCCAGTTCCAACCCCTTGCCCTGGGCAGGGACACCTTCCACCAGATCACGTTGCTCAAAGCCCCATCCAACCTGATCTTCAACCAGGGATGAGGCAGCCACAGCTTCTCTGGGCAACCTGGGCGAGGGTCTCACCACCCTCACAAGAAAGAATTTCTTCCTAACATCTAATCTAAATCTCCCCTCTTTCGGTTTAAAACCGTTAGCCCTCCTTTTATTTAATGATGAGTGGAAGGTCTGAATGGACAAGAAGTAGCAGCTTTGGTGAAAACATGAAATTCCTTCTAACTGGACACCTATACGGGTCCCATAGCAGGAAAATGCCCAATCCCTTTTTATGATTTCATATGTCTTGAGCTAGGAAAAACTTGGTGATATTACCCCGTTGCACTGCCTGGCTGTGTGTCGAGTGATATAAGAAGTGCAGTGTGAGGAGAATAAGCTCACATAAACCCAAATCTAACTGAGACCAGTCCCTGAGAAGGCAGAACAGGCCAGCAGAAGTGGGGTGCTCTGTGCCACATCCACCACTAGATGTCTTGGGACCAGCTCTGCAGCCAGTGAAGGTGCGTCTCCTGCTGAGCAGCACCCAGGTCAGGGAGCTTAATATTAATTTAAGCTCAGCAAAATTAAAGGCAGAGCATATCATATAATTCACGAGAGTTGCTCTACTTTTGGGTTCATCCAGGGAACTCCTGTGTTTAAACAAAATGATCCCTGGAGGAAAAAAAAAATAAATGTGATTGAAGGTTGTGCTGGACTGATCCTCCACCTGCAGCACTTTGCAGCACATCCTGCAGTTAATACATCCTGCAATCCACAGGAGGCCATTTGAAAGCCAGGAGAACCCAAGGCCAATGGTATCTCATGCTTTGGAAGGCAAAATCACAGAACAGTTCCGGTTGGAAGGGACCTTAAAGATCATCCAGTTTCAACCCCCTGCCCTGGGCAGGGACACCTCCCACCAGACCAGGTTGCTCCAAGCCCCCTCCAACCTGCCCTTGAACCCCTCCAGGGATGGGGCAGCCACAGCTTCTCTGGGCAACCAGGGCCAGGCTCTCACCACCCTCACAGCAAAGAATTTCCTCCTAATATCTAATCTGAATCTCCCCTCTTTCAGTCTAAAACCATTACCCCTTGTCCTATCGCTCCCTTCCCTGATCAGGAGTCTCTCACCAGCGTTTGTGTGGCCCCCTTCAGATACTGGAAGGACTCCAAGGTCTCCCCGGAGCCTTCTCTTCTCCAGGCTGAACCCCTCCAACTCTCTCAGCCTGTCCTTACAGCAGAGGGGCTCCAGCCCTCTGATCATCTTCATGGTCCTCTGCTAGACCCATTCCAACAGGTCCATGTCCTTCCTGTGCTAAGGCCCTAGAGCTGGATGCAGTGCTCCAGCTGTATGATCATTTCTGATATGTGGAAGGGAACAAGATGCCCCATATGCAGCAACAGGAAAGAACTGGGTCTAGAACAAGAAGGAAAGAGTGTGTCCAAAGCATCAGGCACAAGCTGCAACCTGCAGCTCCACAGCAAATCCACAGATGTGTTATTACAATAGCACCAGCCCTCCATAAAGAGACTCATGTGGTCCTCTATGGTGTGAAGCTTTGTTCACAGGATTTTCCTTTTTCCATAGTCATTCTCAGTCTCTGCCATGTCCGGACATGGATCATCTATCCACCCTGCGATTTCAGCTCTGAAGCTCTCCCCGCAGGCTTACCAGTCAGCTATCAGCCAGTCTCCACAAACCAGCTCCAAACAGGACTCCTGGAACAGCCTGGTGTTAGCTGAAAACCATGGGGACATCATAACTGCATAACCTGGTCTTCCACCCATGGACTTCAGGCTGATCTGCTCAAGAGATGAAGAAGATGCCATGTAATCATCAAGTCAATGTTGTTTCCCACCTCCCCTACTCTCCCGCCTTCTCTCCCCTGGTGAGAGGTTCCAGCAAAGAGGTAATGAGGACTTTTCTGAGGTGTAGGAGAGCTCTTATGAAATGAACAGAGAAGACTCAAATCTCAAAGTAACTAATGGATTTGAAGCCTTTTCCCCCCCACTTTAAATGTGCCTCTCTATTTGATTGCCACCACTTTTTATGAAACAGCCAGAAACACAAAGATGGACACAGTTGTTGAGTTTCGTTTATTTAAAGATATCTGGCATTTAAGACCCAGACAATGGTGGAGCAGAGACCCTTTTTTCTTTCTGTTCTTTTCCTGACCAGAAGAAGATGCCACCATCTTCTCATTACCCAAATTCAGTGATCTTCCACCAAATGGAACCAGTTCCAGAACAGTTCGTTGAACAGACTTCACTAGACATGCTGTGGTGGCTTTAGTGGATTTGACATGATCTAGAGCAGAGAAAAAAAGAGACCTTCCCACACACACGTCCTCAGCTCACACATCTAAGAGCATTTTCTTCATTTTCCTAGATGGTCTGAAAAGCTAATGAATGCCCGTATTTAATAGTAACTCCTTTCCTATTTATCATTACAAAATCACAGGACTGTGTTTCCAAAAGATTGTTGGCTGAGCCTGGAGAAAGTCTGTCCAAAGTCAAAAGGGGATTTTGGAAGGAGGAACCTTCTGGAACCAGGTAGAGGAGACCCACGTTGGTCATCGTGGAGGAGCGTGCTGGGTTCTTCCCTTATGGATAGCCACAAGCCAGGCTTAGAGATTATTCAAGAGCACAGCAAGTGAAAGATGCTCTTCTAATGTTGTTGTGCTGTTGCTTTTGAGACAGTTAATTTAATTATTTTGCATACTTTTCTGTTGGTCTTGATGTCATTGATGAAATCTGATTTTTGGCTGTACTGTGAGTGCCCACTTTCCCCCCCCAACAGCTGGCTCACCACCAATTTGAAAGCCAGGAGAACCCAAGGCCAATGATATCTCATGCTTTGGAAGGCAGAATCACAGAACAGTTCAGGTTGGAAGGGACCTTAAAGATCATCCAGTTCCAACCCCCTGCCCTGGGCAGGGACACCTCCCACCAGACCAGGTTGCTCCAAGCCCCCTCCAACCTGCCCTTCAACCCCTCCAGGGATGGGGCAGCCACAGCTTCTCGGGCCAACCTGGGCCAGGCTCTCACCACCCTCACAGCAAAGAATTTCCTCCTAATATCTAATCTGAATCTCCCCTCTTTCAGTCTAAAACCATTACCCCTTGTCCTATCGCTCCCTTCCCTGATCAGGAGTCTCTCACCAGCGTTTGTGTGGCCCCCTTCAGATACTGGAAGGACTCCAAGGTCTCCCCGGAGCCTTCTCTTCTCCAGGCTGAACCCCTCCAACTCTCTCAGCCTGTCCTTACAGCAGAGGGGCTCCAGCCCTCTGATCATCTTCATGGTCCTCTGCTAGACCCATTCCAACAGGTCCATGTCCTTCCTGTGCTAAGGCCCTAGAGCTGGATGCAGTGCTCCAGCTGTATGATCATTTCTGATATGTGGAAGGGAACAAGATGCCCCATATGCAGCAACAGGAAAGAACTGGGTCTAGAACAAGAAGGAAAGAGTGTGTCCAAAGCATCAGGCACAAGCTGCAACCTGCAGCTCCACAGCAAATCCACAGATGTGTTATTACAATAGCACCAGCCCTCCATAAAGAGACTCATGTGGTCCTCTATGGTGTGAAGCTTTGTTCACAGGATTTTCCTTTTTCCATAGTCATTCTCAGTCTCTGCCATGTCCGGACATGGATCATCTATCCACCCTGCGATTTCAGCTCTGAAGCTCTCCCCGCAGGCTTACCAGTCAGCTATCAGCCAGTCTCCACAAACCAGCTCCAAACAGGACTCCTGGAACAGCCTGGTGTTAGCTGAAAACCATGGGGACATCATAACTGCATAACCTGGTCTTCCACCCATGGACTTCAGGCTGATCTGCTCAAGAGATGAAGAAGATGCCATGTAATCATCAAGTCAATGTTGTTTCCCACCTCCCCTACTCTCCCGCCTTCTCTCCCCTGGTGAGAGGTTCCAGCAAAGAGGCAATGAGGACTTTTCTGAGGTGTAGGAGAGCTCTTATGAAATGAACAGAGAAGACTCAAATCTCAAAGTAACTAATGGATTTGAAGCCTTTTCCCCCCCACTTTAAATGTGCCTCTCTATTTGATTGCCACCACTTTTTATGAAACAGCCAGAAACACAAAGATGGACACAGTTGTTGAGTTTCGTTTATTTAAAGATATCTGGCATTTAAGACCCAGACAATGGTGGAGCAGAGACCCTTTTTTCTTTCTGTTCTTTTCCTGACCAGAAGAAGATGCCACCATCTTCTCATTACCCAAATTCAGTGATCTTCCACCAAATGGAACCAGTTCCAGAACAGTTCGTTGAACAGACTTCACTAGACATGCTGTGGTGGCTTTAGTGGATTTGACATGATCTAGAGCAGAGAAAAAAAGAGACCTTCCCACACACACGTCCTCAGCTCACACATCTAAGAGCATTTTCTTCATTTTCCTAGATGGTCTGAAAAGCTAATGAATGCCCGTATTTAATAGTAACTCCTTTCCTATTTATCATTACAAAATCACAGGACTGTGTTTCCAAAAGATTGTTGGCTGAGCCTGGAGAAAGTCTGTCCAAAGTCAAAAGGGGATTTTGGAAGGAGGAACCTTCTGGAAGCAGGTAGAGGAGACCCACGTTGGTCATCGTGGAGGAGCGTGCTGGGTTCTTCCCTTATGGATAGCCACAAGCCAGGCTTAGAGATTATTCAAGAGCACAGCAAGTGAAAGATGCTCTTCTAATGCTGTTGTGCTGTTGCTTTTGAGACAGTTAATTTAATTATTTTGCATACTTTTCTGTTGGTCTTGATGTCATTGATGAAATCTGATTTTTGGCTGTACTGTGAGTGCCCACTTTCCCCCCCCAACAGCTGGCTCACCACCATTTCACACGTCTAACCCTTTAGGATTCCACCTTTCTCAACGAGCAAAGTCTTCAGCCTCTGGTGGAGGTCGGCGGGGGCCGTTCTCTTTACCAAGCACGTTGCATAGACTCGTTTGCCTGCAAGAGAGGCACAACTCCATTCAAGCACGAGCATGAAACAAGACTCGTGTCTTCCCTTGCCCATAAGGCTCTTGGCAACCAGGGAATCCTAGAAAACGGAGTTGGAAGAGATGCTGAGAGCTCACCGACTCATTCCCTCTTCCAGATGGGATCAATTTTCCCCAACCCAGCCCTGATTGCTCGCTCTTTAGCGTGTGCTTGACAAGCTCCAGCACTGCAGACGCCACCGCTCCCCTCTGCAGTCTAAGTGCTTCACCAGTTGCTTGCCGTGACGTTTCCACCAATGTTTCCAAGGAGGGATGGCTTTGCCTGTCCAGGCAGAGAATTTCTGGGAGACCTGGTCCTACAAGATTGTCCACTCTTGTGTCTGTCCACTCCCAAACTCTGTTACTCTTCTTGCCTCCCCAGCTCCTCTCCTCCCTGCATCCAGAACTCGAGCACAGAACTACCAAGTAAAAAATCTAGAAGAGGGATTGTGCATCTCCTCCCAAATGTGCCATCCTCTGTCTCCCACTGTTTAACATTCCCACAAAGAATGTTTTCTTCCACCCAAACACCAAGACACGTGGCTTGGTGAAGAGGAAAGCCATGTACACGTTTGAAGCAAAAGAATGGCGTTGTATTGTCTGTGCCTGAACTCACCATTTTCCTCCTGATGGTAGAAAAGCTTCTTTAAGGAGAAGAATTCAACTGGACTGGTCATGATAAAGACTGGGACTGGAGTCACGGTAGAGACCTGGACCCTTCCACATTCTCCACGCTCGGCGTAACTCAGATTTGCAGGGGTTTGGAGGGGTGGCAGAGCCTCTGAGCTCCTTCAAAGTGATGCCCATGGAGGTGGTGCCATGGGAATGGCCGGATGGTGTTTGCACCAGGGTGTCCGCTCTGTCTTGCTGAGTTAAGGCAGGGTCTAACTTCATTAGTGTTAATTAAAAAGCAGGAAAAGACATTCATGAAACATGAATAAAAAAAAATGAAATTCTGTGATTCTGCAGAGAAGAGGCCAGAAATAGCACCTAAAAATATGAATTTGGGCTAAAAACATGAGGGTGTTTTTCCCTGGGCATGCAGGTCGTTAGCCAGCCTCCTCCTTGAATTATATCCCTTTGTAAATGGCAACTGAGCTCTCTTGGGATCTGGCTGTGAATTCCCGTCTGTGACAGAGAATCACACACCACAAAGATGCCACTTGGCTAATGGGAGACCCTGGACAACCCCAGAGGGAAGGAAGCAGGAGGTCTCCTGGACAGGATCTAAGGTCCTGACCAACCACACGCCCCATTTCTCTTTCCCTCTAGATGCTTCCAGAGGCTCTGTCCATCTCACCTTATTGCTGTGCTCCTCCTTCTCCCCTCAAAGCCAAACTCCTGGCTGAATTTTCCTCCTGCCCTTAAAACACACTCCGAGATGCCACAAAGGAGTCTGCTTGCCATGCAAGAGGGGAAAAGCCCTGCAGGATATAAGCCTGCCTTATGCTCCCTCAGGATTATCTAAATGACCATGATAGAGACTTGTTAACTGGTCCTCAGCCTTCCTCAAAGCCTTAAAAAATAATACTTGAAACACAGTCAGGAGCATTTACAAGGACCCCGTTAGCAGAACAAGATGTCTGCCTTCAAAGGATGAGGTTCTGGGGATCGTGAGGACAACTTGGCTCTCTTCAGTGATAGAATTCAGCTCTTTTGTCCTCACTTTTGCACCACGAGCAGTAGAGGTTCAAATGCACCTGGTTTGTTGTTCTTTTCAATCACCCCAGACTGTGGTAGAGCTATTGTCACCCCAGGGCCACTTGCCATAGCATGGACAACATCATTGACATCAAGAAAGTGGGAGGCTGAAGTCAGATGGAGCACCATCATGCTAGGTGCTCTACAAACACACCATAATAAATGGGTCCTGTCCTAGGGAGCTCGTAACAATAGAATTACAGAATAATTTAAGTTGGAAGGGACTAGAACAGGTTTCTCAGGACCCTTTTCAGTTAAGTGTTGAATATCCCCAAGGATGGAAATCCTACAGCCTCTCTGGGTTCCTGTTCCAGCATTTGACCACCCTCATGATGGAAGTGTTTTTTGAAATAAACGTTAGCTTCTGATGAGATGCAAAATCATTGGCAAATTAATTGCTTGGAGACTTCCAAAAAATGAGTTGTTGCAGGAGACTGAACGTTGTCTCCAAGCCCAGGAGTCAGAGATAGCCCCCTCTTGGAGGTAGGAGCCAGGATGGCCCATGCAGGGCGATAAATGCCAGAAGTGACAGATGAAGGGAGACTCACAGGACGAGATGACAAAAGTACTACCAGTTCCAGGAGACTCAGCTCGTTTGAGCAAGAGGGAATTACAAAACTCTGGGTTCCACCTGAGCTCTGCTTTCCTTCCCATGACGGGGGAAGCATTTAGAGCCTACTTTGCTAATATAATTAGATACAATTATTAAAGACTCGTTACAGCAAGATAATCATTGTTATTATAATTGCTATAATTTATTTCATTGCAGTGTGGCTGGAGAACCTAGTGAGGGTCATCCCAGGCTAGCTCCTACACAAATGCAGGACTAAGAACCATCCCTGCCCCGAGGAGCGAGAGGGAAGGGCCCAGTCCTGCAAATTACTTAAGCATGTATTTAAATCCACCTGTGGGACTTATTCCCTTAGAGGTCCTCATTAATCACGCACACTAATTTTGACGTTGAAGGGTTGGCAAAACAAGGTTTGGTTGTGCCAACCCAGACCTTTGCAATGTCTCAGTGGTCACTGGGGTGAGATGGGCAGATGAGAACTGGGACACGGAGCCAGAAGGGTAGAAAGGTCATTTGACCATCTCAAAATGTTTTTCCTCCCTGTGGTGGTGCAATATCTTGAATCACTTCAGTCCATCTTCTGTAAATTGATCAGAAGAGATCCATATTTGATTTGCAGCCTTATGGTCCGGCTGGAGAAGGTGCAACCAGGAGGAGCTCAGGAATATTGTGAGGGAGCTTTAAAACTGATCAACAACTCTTATGATAACACTGAAGCTGTGACTATGTCAGGGGTGGTGTTTTGTTTCTCTTTTTCCCCTCCATGTATAAAGTTTGAAGCTTCCCAGGACAACTGGGAAGGTCCCGTGGAAACAGACACTTCTTTGTAAGGGGGGAGAGGGAAACCAACCAACTGAACAAGCTGTAATTATTTAAAGATGTAAAAAAATACATATTATGAAGTAGTATGGCTACCAATCCACATAACTTCTACACCTTTAGAACTAATGGAAATAAAACAATGATAATAAAACCAGAAGGCTGCTGCTTGACTCTGACTACCCTTGTGGGCTTCTTGGAGAGGGCTGGGGGTAGATGATCACACATGAAGTGCACCTGGAGAACCAATGGTGGAATGGATCCTGTCCCAGGGAGCTCATAACGATGACATTATGGAGTAATTTAAGTCATTAGGGACTAGATCAGGTTTGTCAGGGCCCTGTTCAGTCAAGTGTTGAACATCCCCAAGGATGGAAATCCTACAACCTCTCTGGATTCCTGTTCCAGTGTTTGACCACCCTCATGGTGGAAATGTTTTTCCAAAAAACCATTAGAATCATAGAGTCATCTAGGTTGGAAGGGACCTTTAAAACCATCAAGTCCAACCATTGACCTAACACTGCCAAAACCACCAGTGAACCACGTCCCTCAGCACCACCAATACTTTAGATTCTAATCAGAGGCAAAATCATTGGTAAATTAATTGTTCAGACCTGGGGACTTCCAAAAAATGAGTCATTGCAGGAGGCTGAACGTTGTCTCCAAGCCCAGGAGTCTCACGCAGCTTACAAAACCCTGGGTTACCTCTGAGCTCTGCTTTCCTTCCCGTGACAGAGGAAGCATTTAGAGCCTGCTTTGCTAATGAAATTAGATACAATTACTAGAGACTCATTACAGCAAGATACTCCCAGCTGAACTCTGAGACACCGCCCCTAATCCAAAATGACATTTCCAGCAAGGGCTGAGCTCTGCCACCATCACGTTCTGCAGAAGCACAGCCCTCCTACAAGCACCCAACCTTCCTCCAGGGGTGCCCAGATTCCTTCCCAGTCCAACCAGTCCCTGAATATCCATACAACTGGCAAGGTTGAATGTGACCAGGACTGGAAACTCCACCCGTTCCTCCCCCACCAACCAATTGAGAAGCTCCCCTGCCAAATGGCAGGGGAAGGTCCTCCTCCCCTATAAAAGTGGGTGGGTTTGGGGTACAGAAGGTGTTACTGAGAGTAGGTAGGTTGGTTATGGGGAGGGTGGAGATGTTGTGGGAGGTGTTTGGTGCTGTTGGAAGGGGGTCTGGGGGAAGAGGAATGGCTTGGGAGAAGAAGGAGAGAAATTAAGTAGGGGTGAAGGCTGCGTGGTCTGCTCCCAATATATATGCACAGGGTGGACATGGGAAGGGCAGTGGGTTGGGAGGGCTGGATGTGGTGCTTGGGGGGAACTGCAGTAGGTACCCCCACTGCTCTGGGAAGGCATGGTGGGGGGCAGTGGGGTGGAAAGTGTGGGCTTACTTGTTTGGGAGAGCTGTTGATGCTTGGCTGAATGTGAGAAGATGGTGAGCTCTAATCGGCCCTAGACAAGTGTGGAGGGTCAGGGCCATGCCTTGAAGTCCCTGCAAGAAGCTTCTTGCAGGAGTGTGAGGGCACGGTGGTGCTTCCTCCAGAGCAGGGTGTGGGACCATGTTCCCTAGGTAAGGGTGATCTGACATTGTTGGAGTGCAGGTCAAGCTGGGATGAGGTGGATGAACCTTGTAGCCTTGTCATGTCCTGGTGTGGGTTTTTGGCTTCTGTCTGAGCACAAGAACTGGAAATGAAGGCATAGATGGGGAGGATTTCTTCTGGAGACCTGGCTTCCTGCCCTGGGCCTGTAGTGGTACCAGCTCAGGTGTCTTGCTGGGACAGGCTCTGGGGTGTAGTGGTCATGCTCCTGGGGAGATGGGTGTCAGGCCCTGCAGAGAGCTGGGGCTTGTTATCCTCCCCTTCCTCCATGGAGAGAGGAGCATTTTGGGAGAGACTAAAGTAGGTCTGGAGTAAAAAGGTGATGTAGGGAGGTCCATGGAGAGAAGGAGATCTTTTGTACTGGGACATCAAGGCTAAGGGAATAGCTGGAGTCAGGTGAGCTCTTGTTCCTGGTGATGACAGGGATGCTAAACACTCTAAGGTCATCTGTGGAGAACCTGTGGTAGAAAAGGACTGCTGGGGATCCCCAGGCCAAATCCCTGCTTGTGGGGTGAAAACTATCATTAGAACAGGTTATTCAGGACCTCATTTGATTGAATTATGAATATCCCAAGGATGGAAATTAGCCCCTCTCTGCACCTGGAAGGAAACTGTTTCTTTTCATGGACTTTGAGAGGAAAATGGGGGTGAGGAGATTGTGGCAAGCTCAGCCTCGGACTGTTTTTGTGTATTTCTGAGTTGCAACTTCCCTTCAAGCATAGGGCACCAAGAGTAAGAAGGACCTGCTGTTCCCTCAACAATTGCTGGAGATGCCAGAGGGCCCATCATTGAGGAAATTCCATTTACTGACCTCCCCTTTTGTGGGCCAAGTGGTGGCCAAGGTGGGGGGAAGCAGCCGGAAGATCAATGTGAATGACCTGAATGCCCTGAGGCTCCAGGACTCCCAGGTGAGCTGTGCTAAAGATGAACTTACTGGTCCATGGCAAGTCTGAGGCAAACCAGCATGGTCCTGCATCTGGGTTGTGGAAGGTGCATAACCTGAGAACAACACCAAGCTTGTGTTTGAGGTGGCTTTCTTTGTAGCCACAAAATAGGGGCATGTGGGCAAAGAGTTGTGAATGCCCATTTTGGAGTTCTGCTTTGTGTTGCAAAGCTTGGGATGAAGGTTCCTGTGAGGAGAGGCTGTTGCAGTGCACAGTTGCTTCCCTTATATCTGAGGGCAGGGTTTCACCTGGCCAGATTGAAGTGTCTGTGCTGTGGCCACTTGTACTGGGTCAGTCCTGCTGGGGTTTCACTTGCCTGACCTCCTTCAGATGATGATTTGGACTTGGCTGACCAGATCCTACTGCAGCCTTACCTCTGATTATGTGATAGTCTCAGCTGAGGGCACAGATGTGAGCAGCTCAACAGTCATTTGTGGCTTCAGAGCCACCCTTGAGTTAGGTCATAGAATCATAGAAGGTTAGAAGGGACCTTTCAGATCATTGAATTGATTTGCATTGAGTAGCACACCAACCCATTAAGGTTGGGTGCTAGGTCACCCTGGCTTGAGAGGCTTGAGGCCAGCAGAAAGTGGGGAGGTGAAGGACAAACAGGCAATGAAACCCTGAATGTCTGTCCTGGTGCGTGTCTTTGGCCTGACAGGAGTCTCTAGGAGGACTTCACAGTGGGGTGGCATCTGAACACCTTGTGCTTCATGTAGACAAAGAAAGGGTGCTGAGAGGAGCATCCTGCAGCTGTGAGGCGATGTGCTAATGAATCCCTTGTTCAGGGTGAGGTGATGCACCTTCTGTCTAAAAGAGGTTGTAGAAAATAGCCACTTCTACAGAAACAGCCTGAGATTATGGTGGATCCTCAGTACATCCCACCTTTTTTCTCAGGTTCATGGGAAGAACTTGTACCTGGCATTTGTGGCAGCAGAAGGTCCCTTAGGACCAACTGCAGAAGAGACAGTGCTGCAAAGAGAGGCTGCTCGTGGGGCAAGTTCTCCTCCTCAGGAAGGGCAAGAGCAGGTTTGTCCTCCACAGCCAGATCCCCAGGAAGAGGAGCTGCAGGAACTCCAGCACTCAAGCTCTGAAGCCCCAGATGAAGCAGGGGGTTCAAGCAGCTGGTTGCGCTTCCATTTTGGCTTGTATGGCAGCATTCGGGCAAATGAGCTCTCAAGAGCAAACAAAGCCAACAAGAGAGGAGACTGGAAAGACCCCGTCCCCAGGTATTTGATGAAGGCCTCACAAACTCTACTTTCTCCCTGCCTCTCGTTCTGGAGAGGCACTCCTCTGTTTCAAACTAAATTTGTGGGGGAATACCCTTTGTCCTGTTGTCTTTTCTCTGATAATTCTTAAGATAAATGGGCATGAGAGAAGAATATGGGGTGTGATCAACCAAGGAGTCCACAGTAGGCTGTTGTTTGGGTATTCCTGTGCTGTAGGGGTCTTTCAGATCTCCCAACAGCATCGGTTGACCGTGGTTTTCCTTGGATATGTCTTATCTTAGTACTGCATGTTCTTCTTCCCCTTGGAAACGGGGTTTTCTACCCTCTGTTGCCTCCTGCCTCCTCCCAGCCACATCTTCTCTGATGCATTACTTTGTGTGTTTCATCTCCTTTGTTTTATGTGATTGGAGAATTAAGTGGTTGCACTTGTGGGATGCGTGTTGCCTGCCAGCCTAGTGCCAGCTCGGTTAAGGTGTTTATTCAAGGAGAGAACTTGTTGCTAGATTGAATTGTGCCCTGAAAATGCCAATTTTTCCCACTTATTCATCCAAGGCTTTTTTTTTAAGCATATAACATACATCTAGGGCAGCTGGAATCACTGGTTAAAGACAGCAGTGCATTGAAAACACAGGCTCTAGTCTGTGTCTTAGGCTCCACTGGAAGTGTCCTGAACAAGAAGGGGTAAATATTGGAAGACAGTGTGGGTTCAGCTCTTGTGAGCTGTTTAATTTGAGCCATTAATAACACCCAAGGTGGGTGTCTGGCCCCTGTGTATGTAGGGACATGCTCCCCGTTCTCCCAGCCTGCAATCTTCTGAAGGATTGCTTTATTTCTGCACACATAATTTTGGATATACTCGATTTTGTGCGCTACTTTGAGCATCAGTTTCCCTGACTGCAGATCCTGCTGCTGTCTCTCAGCTGGGGACCACGGGGCAGCAGAAGGAACAGTTGTCCACCAGTTGTGTGGGTTCACAACCAAGTTTCTTGGCTGAAATCATTAAGGAGGTGACCTGGCGTTGAGATGGTGGTGTTGAGGTGTGTTGGAGTCCCTGCTGTCACCCAGTGCACATAAGAATGTGCAGGGAAGGAATAGCTGGGCTGGGGTACAGGCTTGGGGGACCAGTACTTCAAGATGTTTCCTCTTTTCTCACCTTCCAGTAGTCTTTTGCTCCGTTGCTATGTTGTTCTCTCTTTCCGTGCAAGTTTCTTAAAATTGCAGAATTGTCTAGGTTGGAAGGGACCTTTAAGATCAAGTCCAACCATCACAAAACCACCACTAAACCATGTCCCTCAGCACGACATCTACCTGTCTTTTAAATACCCCCAGGGATGGTGATTCCACTTCCCTGGGCAGCCCGTTCCAATGTTTGATAACTCTTCTGGTGAAGAACCTTTTCTTAATATCCATCCTAAGCCTCCCCTGGTGCAACTTCAGCCAGAGCAGAATATCACAAATGGTTTGGGGGAGTTTTTGACTAGAGATTTCAATGTATCTGCTTCTCCCAGGCTGATTCTGCACTTTGAGAGTGGAGGCTTCCTTGCTTTCTACAACTGTCGAATGCAGTGGTGCTCCTCTCCACGGGCTGATCCTACTTCTGACATCCTCTCTGTGGAGTTCCACCGTGGCCGGGCACTGGATGCTCTCCGTGCACCCGATCCCATCTGCTACACCCTCTTAGACCAAAGATATTTTTCAGGGCTGGGTGAGTTTTGGGGCACAGTGGCAGAGCAAGAAACGGAGGAAGGTGGGTGGGATGTCTACAGATCTAGAGCTGCAGCTCTGAACCTTTTACTCCTTAGCATTATGGCTTCTGGTTGATCCAGCTGGGGGTATGTGGTCATCTTGCTGAGGACAAGGCTCGCAGTCTGTAGCCAGAGGCTTTGGGTGCATGAGTGTGAGGAAGGTCCACTTCAAGGGGAGTGGGAAGAGAACATCTTCCAGGTCCAGTCCCAGCTGGAATTCCAAATGGTCATTTGGAAGGTAGATGACTTCAGTGGGTTCACTGAGGGCTGAAATGATTGTGAAGCCCATGATGTCACTGAACTAGGTGGTCACCGGTCAAAATACTCTGGTTCCACAGTGCCACTGGGCTTGAGGGCTTCTGCCACCGATCTGAAGTAACACAAGCAAGGATGACAGGGAACAAACCCTTGTTGTAGGGGTTGCCCAAGAGCTCGGAAACTCTTGTCCTACTGTGCTCAGAAGATGTTCCAATAAACAGAAGGATCTAGATGGCTACGACAAGCATTGATTAAAGTTTATTGCTTTGATTGGAAGGTGCTCACTGGAATTGGAGGTCAGCTCTGCAATCTTGCTCACTTCTGGGGATCTCTTTTGTCCAGTCTAGCTATGGGTGGGTTTTTTTGCCATCTAAAGTAGCGATACTTATGGGGGGACCATTCTGAATGACTTCTCTGATATGGGGAATGGCATTGGTAGCTGTGATCAAAGGCAGAAGTCACCATGACTGAAGACATAGGTCTGCATTGTCTTGATAAGAAATACCCTGACTGTCTCCTTTTCTCCTTTTTTTTTTTTTTTTTTTTTTTTAAGTATATTCTGGATTCTTGTTCTATCCGTCCAGGCTTCCTACATGACATCGTTGGCGTTTAA